GTTCGTTTTTTTAAAATAAATGTTTACTTTCAAAAATCAAGACCTTTCTATGGAAAATGTGTAGATTTTCCTTTGCTCAACTGCTTGGGCACTCGACTGAATATTAGCCTCCAACATATACAACTATGCGCAGGGTGGATATAAATCTTACCTTACATGCTTGCGCGGACAAAATATTGAACATTTTACATATCTTTCTCTCATTGATATACTGTTCTACATTGGAACTCGTGCCCAGCTGCTAAATTACCTAGTTCGGATAGAGAGGAAGAGAGGGTGAGTAAAAAGATCCTGGCTGCGGCCAAGTCATTCGGTTATTAAAGTAACCACCGCAGCCTCCCCGCTGCGGCGCCCGTACAAATACTGTGCTTAAATAGACATAGAAAAAAGAAAAAAGTAAAAAAAAAGGGCTCTTCACGACAAACGACGCAGCAATAGGACGGAAGTCAAAACACGTTGTAGGATATGAGCTCTGGATAGAATAATAAAAAGGAAGGTAATCTGGAACCGGAAACAGGGTAGCATCCTGAAACGTTAGAGGTGCCTTTTGTACCCAAACGCGAGCTTCAAACTTTTCGTCCTGCCTCGGCGGCGCGGCGCACAGTGCACTGGAAAAAAAACACATTGGATCCAGAGTCCAGACTCTTAAAAACATCGACAAGAAAAAATACTCTTGATTCAATCAGATTTAAGCTTAAATCAAGAACCAAGCCTCTTAATTTGAGCGGATTTCCTTTTGATTTAAGCTTAAATCTGATTGAATCAAGAGTCCGTTTTCTTGTCGATGTTTTTAAGAGTCTGGACTCTAGATCCACTGTGTTTTTTTCCAATGTGGCGCGAATCAACAAGAAACGTCACACTTCACGTGAAAACTTTAAAACTTATCTCTTCTTTAATTTTAAACTATGCCGTTTAAAAGTCGTCTTATTGGTTTTCTTGTTGAATTTCTATACTTAACACACCTTAAAATTTAAAACGTGACGAAATACACGCTGAAATTTGCAGTTTAAGTCAACAATTCCACGTTTAACCTCTCCCAATGGATCGTTCTATTGTGCGACGGTTCAATCCAAAGCACACGTTTTATTCGGTCTCAAACGCTATCTTGCTATGTTATTTTTCTATGTGAATTGCCTCTACGGTCATTTCATTTCTTGATTTCTTATCTATTACATGATGTCACTAATTAAATTTTATAGTGGATTATTTTTTTTCCGTGCTTACCAGGAGTTCCATTCAAAATCATTCATTTTTTTTTTTCAAAATACGGCACGATGCGATTCTACGTACCCTCCCACACGGCTGAAACAGACATAACAAGAGCCCAACGACAGGATGCAACTATTCGAACTCTGGAGTTGTAATGTGGTATCATCCGGAAATGAAGTCGAATCAAATTGGTTGACGGCTGCGACTGCCTTTTCTCCCTTGAAAGTGGGATGAATAAAACGAGAGGATACGACTATTTTAACTCCGGAGTTGCTTTGTGGTATCTTCCAAAAATGAAGGCGAATCTGATTGGTTGACAATTAGTTTAGTTTCGTTTGGATTCGAATTCTAACATTGGAAATGATTTGAGATTGCTCCAAGTGTGAAATTCTGTTTGATTCGGTCTAGATGTTTATGCTCTTTGAGCCAATGGGTTGCCAGAAGGGGTGGGGAAGGGAGTAGATTATCACTTTTGGAAATGAAACTAATGATTTGAATGCTAAATAAACACACCGGGGAAAAAAAAGTAAAATGAATGGAAAAAACCTTCAACGATTGGAAAAGTAACTATTCTCTAAAATTTCGAGACAAGCCTTGCAGTATTTTCATTTCATATGAAATCTGATTCTCCAAAATCCGCCCTTAAAATTTTATGTAAAGCTACAGCAACTTCCGTTTTTTGACACCTCCTGGGACCCAGGACAAGCGTGCATTCTGAAAACTTTACACACCATTTATCAACGTTAACGACTGAAGTCAAATCGATTGGACGCCCTTGTTTCACTAAAATTGGAGCGAAAAGGAGACTTGACTGCCCAATTCCCTTATTTACCTCAGGGAATGAGACGTGCATACAACCCAATTACGGAAAGATTTATTGTCCAATTTGCGCATGCAGAGAATGCGACGTTTTGCATGGCTCAAATATCTCAGATAAGATCTTTTTCCCGACTTGGAGAGTTCAGCTGTAACTCACAATCGATATTATATGCAATGCAGAACTTTAAAGCTGGCCAATGTTTGTCGCATGATACTGCGCCCTGTTGCCGTAACGACGTAAGGTGATGCGGGAATTGAAACGCATTGGAATACTTCACTGCCCTGCTAAAGAGAAATGCCGTAAGAGCATTTGAATGTTGTCAAATGTCTTTCGATACTATGTTAGTTTCTGAAGAAAGTTATTGATACTCTCATGGAATGGTAACATTTGGCTCCACCCTTTAAATATACATATACGTTAAATTGTCAATCAAGCTACTTTCAAAATTCTCTGTAAAGACCTTAATAGCCTGTGACGCTGAATGTCTTGAAATATACTAACTAACTAACTAACTAACTAACTAACTAACTAACTAACTAACTAACTAACTAACTTACTTTATAGAATCGGACAGGCCTCTATAAGAATCGATTATTTATAATGAATTTAAATGGAAAGAAGAAAAGGTTGTAGACTTAAGAGAATCGCGATTTCTTTTTCTGTGAAGTTATCGAGAGTTTTCACAACGGAATGACTAAAATTCTCTGAATAATTCAAACAAAAGAGTAATTCATTTCTTCCTCAGAAGTTCTTATGTTATCGGAAAAATTTTGTCAACATCTAGATGTTAATACTGCAGTTTCCTTTCGTGCGACACAGTCAAAATCCATGGTGAAGCGCTCACGACGTGTCAAAATACTTTATCACCTAACTGCAAGTAACTGCAAAATATGAACCAATTACCGGCTGCGGTTGTCTTTGGTCCATTAGAAGTGGAATGAGTCAAAATAAGGGATGCGACTATTCGAGCTCCAGAGTCGTGACGTGGTATCACCCGAAAATGAAGGCGAATCGAATTGTTTAGAGGCTGCGGCTGTTTTTACTCTCTAGGGATGAATAAAAGTAAGGGATGCGACTATTCGAACTCCGAAGTCGTTGTGTGGTATCGACTAAAAATGAAGGCGAATCTAATTGGTTTTCAGTTATTTCAGTTTAGTTTGGATGTTTAAATTAATGATAAAAATCATTCGAAATTAGTCAAGAAGTAAATTAGCCATTGGAAACCAATTACTGTAAAATTTGAAATCAACTGATTGAATTAAGCATCTGATTCATTTTCTACTACTTATTGGTTGCATTAATAATTGAATCAGTGAGAGCGAAAACACACCACTCGATAACTCGAAAACGCCCAATTTTCATTAAAGACAGTCAATTTTCAAAGGTCATCATAGTTACCGCATCTGTTCCAGCTTGGACCTTTAAAGTGTCCTTAAGTACTTGTCTTTCGGCACCAAAAATATTTTTCTTAGACTAAGTTCTCACCTACTGTGCAGTTTTTGTGTGTCTTGATTATTTTCATTTTTTTTGAGTTGAAGTGTTTTTCTTCTCACTAATTCAATTTTACGTAAGAGATGTTCGGAAACAAGGATGTATTTTCCTCCCAATATTACACTTAACACATTTTAATTTGCACTGGAAAAAAAACACATTGGATCTAGAGTCCAGACTCTTGCAAACATCGACAAGAAAAAATACTCTTGATTCAATCAGATTTTTGCTTGGATCAAAAGGAAATCCGCTCAAATTAAGAGGCTTGGTTCTTGATTTGGATTACATTTTGCAATAAGGAACCACTATTTCTGCCCCATTTTAGAAACAACATACATGCCATTGGTTTCCCTAAGCAGATATGTGCTTTTATTGGAGAGCCCAAGATAGTGGTTCCTTTTTGCAAAATGTAATCCATTTAAGCTTAAATCTGATTGAATCAAGAGTATTTTTTCTTGTCGATGTTTTTAAGAGTCTGGAATCTAAATCCAAAGTGTTTTTTTTTCTAGTGTGTCATTATCTAAATCCCAAGTTTCGAAAAACAGAGCAAATCGGCAACAGTGGGGTAATGAACTTCAACTGCTGCAAGTCTATCCAAGGCATGCGCATGCGCCGGACGACGGGTGGTCTCCCCATTTTCCCTTTATTTTCTCCTGGACGCCACCGCCACCGTAGACCGATTCATCAATTGCATCCGTAGTGAACATCAACAAAACAAACTTAAATATTATTTCGAGAGGTGGGCTTAGCAGCGAGGGCGGTCCTAGCTAAGCTCCCCGACAGACCCTCGAGTAAAATCCGTATTTACGCTCGCGGGCAGCATGATAGTACTTGGCACTCATCAATTTTTCAGCGCCTAAACGCCAGATTACCCGGATTCTATTTACATAATTCGACGCGTCGACTGATTTATTACGACTTTCCTCGAGGAGCGTAATAGCTGGGGATGCCGGTGACTTAAACAGATTTAGTTAGCAGCTGGGATGATGCAGGCAACACGAGGGAAGGTTTTAATAAACGAAATCATGAGGGCAAATTTAAAAAAAAAAAAAAAAAAAAAAAAAAAAAAAAAAGTTTACGGTGATGCATGCACCTATGCTCCGATGACTATGCAAATTTTACAGGTGTATGCTCTAATCATACGTAGACAGGTCAATAAATCATGTTTCATGTACTAAATGCAGCAACTATGTATTTAATATTTCAGTGATGCACACTGAAAAATTAACATTTCCATTTGACTTAGAAATATACGTCATCGAATATTCCACGAAAGAAGTACGTGGAGAATCAGTTGGTTTGGAAGGAAATGAAAAGTTTTCCGATCGTTTTGAGAAAATAAAAACCTTATTCTTTTTAAAACAACTGGAATTCTAGCGATAATAATTCAAATTGAAGTATTTTTTGACTCTGACAGATTTTTTGCTTAGTGTAAAGCTCTAAGTAAAAAATGGATTGATAAGAATTTCAAGATACTCACCGATCTATTTTTCGTCGAACTTTTGCTCGTGGCATCGTTCGAGTGCTGAAACAAAGAAAACAAACACTGGTTAGATACAATTTAAATAGTTTGATTACATTAAATGGACGTATTTATACTGAAAAGAATTATGTGCAGAAGAATTATTAAGAATAAAATCAAAGGGGACTATGGAATGAACAAGCAAACCCGATGCACATAGTTCCTTTAGCATAAATACATCCAGCTTTCGTTGAAAAACATAAAATCAAAAGTTGACGACGAAGTTATTGAGAGCTCGTTAGCTTGTTCCGAAGCGTCAGAGTTTTCATCAATTTAGGAGTTGATTTGAAAATGTTTAAAAAAACATATTGAAACCACACTCCTCTCCCGATTTAGCGTAGAAAAAAAATTGCAACCTTTTCATTTGCTAAAAAAGCATACGCAACTTAAAATTTCGACACGCATATATTCAACTTTTACTTTAATTGAAGGACGAGCTATTCGTGAGAATGAGATAGTAACTGATATGAGTTTCCGTTATGATTTTAGCTTTTCAGGGAATGTATGACAGGAAGGTCGACGTAATTTTACAAAATAATCTCTTTGCCCGACGGGAAATTAAGCTGACGTGTATTCAAAATCTTCTCAATGACATATAATGCGGTGAACTTTATCTTACGAATACCCTCGAAAATATATTCCAGCAACTGACCGACGTCAAAATGAAATTAGGCTAAATTTCTACCACTAGCCTGAATACTTCTATGCGTTTAATGACTTTCTGTGAGTATGGAGCTGTTTCATTCATTTTTGAGGCAATGGAGAAAGTAAAGATGTAGATGCATGATACGCAGCTTAATGGTGAATATTTATGGTACCCCACTTTTGCACGCAAACGATTTCATCAAGGACCCGGGTGTCTATAGACTTAGGGGAGGAAATTATTCCCTAACTTTTCTATGTTTACCCTCACCAAAATAATCAAAATTCCCTGCTTTTTCACAACAGGACCTGAGGCCCTAAAAATTCTTGTTGTTTCCGGTCTTTCAGTCTACAGCCTACCGATATTCTGAAGAACACGAGTATTTTGAAGGACTAAGACCAGGAGACCAGCTATTTGTACCCAAAACACGACACTTTTCGAGGCGTTATGGCTATACGTTTCACGGACAAACGCACGCATGGCGACGACGGCACGCGGCACGCGCGTGTCCCGTGCCCGGTGTCAAACCGGTGCCCATCGAGCAAACACAGCCTGTGAATCAAAAACACGTAGAAAACGGTCGAAACTGCCAAGAAGTGTGGCCGTAAGATTGTGCATGTGGGTGGAAGAGCCGAGCTCGGGTCAGACGCCCCCCGCCTCGGGAAGAAACGCGTAAAACCACGATGGAAACCACGAGGAGATCCGCGATTTTGGCGGAAGCGGGGCCCGGTGCGAACTCCCAAGTGGACTCGACGAGCGGGACGTGTGCTCCCACCTTCGGTCGGGAACGACATGCGCCGGGCTCCAGGATCCACCGGGCAACAATTTCATCCAACATCTGGACTCAGGTTCGAGTCGAAGGACTGCGCTTGTGCTATATTTTTGATCTGCTGATTGGATGCATTCAAACGCTACTCGATTTGACTGCAGGAGCTTATTCTTCTGACTATAATAAGCTTTCTTCCTCAATTAAAGTCCTCCCAAATGTGCTCCCTTCGGAACTACACTCTTCACAATCCACCAAAGATTAGCAGTATGAGCATAGAATTCCAAACACAGGTCGCAGGTCTCCAAATGTGTCAGCTGTGGACGCATGTTAGAGGTCGAAAGAAAGTGAAGTGAGGAAGAAGGTGGCGGAGGAGGAGGAGGAGGAGGAGTAGTAACAGGGGGAGGAGGAACAGGAGGAACAGGAGGAAGAGGAAGAAGGGGAGGAGGAGGAGGAGGAGGAGGAAGAGGAGAAGGAGGAGGAGGAAGAGGAGGAAGAGGAGGAAGAGGAGGAAGAGAAGGAAGAGAAGGAAGAGGAGGAAGAACATGATGATGAAGAAGAAAACATGACAGAAGAAGATAAAGAAGAAGACGACGATGAAGAAAACAAAGAAGAAAAAGATGAAGAAGACAAGGAGGAAGAAGAAGAGAAGAAGAAAAATGAAAAGAAGAAAAAGACGACGACCAAGAAAAATACAAGGAAGAAGGCGACAACCAAGAAAAATACAAAGAAGAAGACGACGACCAAGAAAAATACAAAAAAGAAGAAGAAGAAGAAGAAGAAGAAGAAGAAGAAGAAGAAAACGACCAAGAAGAATAATCTTTTCCTTCGTCTCCATCGCTTTCTTCCCGAAAAGGATTGGTCTCGAAACAGCACTTTGGCGACGATTTCAAGTTCAGAGTCGCAGTTTAGTAAAATATGTATCTTTTCTTTTTTTGCACAAAAATACTCGTTTGACAACAAGGTAGGTGAGAGGTTAGGTGGTTGGGTCTCACGTGCGGTCAAAGCGGCGCGGCGCGAGGCACGCCGCACGCTGCGCCTCAAAAGTCAAAACCACTGCCATGCAGCTGCTGATGCTGAATCTCCTCTCGCTCCATCTCATCCAAAGGTGCCTTTTCGTGTATGAAAACATCATCCACAACTGAATTCATTCAAGATTCGGTTCAATCCGGCATCGTCCGTTCACTCCTTCTTCTCACGCGACACCCATACGCCACAAGTTCATTGCCGAACCAGTTACCTCCGGTCGTGGTTCCTCGTCCACGTAATTGGCCGACGTTGGGCGCAGACAGGCGGTGCATGTTCAAGCGCGGCACCTTGATTGGGTAAGAGCACAGCACGACCGAGGCTCATGTTGAACTTCAGATAGATTTCTTTCATTAAACGGTGACCAATTGTGCTGCTCTTTCATTATCGCTCGGCACTCGTACACTCTTATTTTGCGGTTTTGTCAAAATCATTACAGGAGAGCGTGGCGTTGATGGGAGGGGGATGGGACGGGGGATAGAAGGGCTGCTGGGAGGTGCGGTGGGAGGGGGCG